CACCTCACACAGGCGGCAGAGGCTAAAGGAAACCAACCCAAAACGTGGTTGATTGCCTGCTGCTTTGGACAAACAAGCCTTGGTTTGACGCAGGAGATGCAGTTCTCAATGAAGCTGCTCACATTCTGCAGTCACTGCATGTACAAGAGCTCAGAGAGCTGCCGACTATGGTAGTGGAACCATAGCAGCTGTTCTGGCAATTCTTGCCCATCCAACGACCGACCACAGCCTGGGGCAAGCTGGAGGATGAACACTGTCGCGTTCCAGCTCTCACCTACGAAGCGCAGTTGGGAACCATGTATGCCCATGAATGTGTGTGGAAATCAAACATCACACGTTCAGGAAAGTATCCCAGAAAATGGACTGTGTTTTAGAGATTGGCCATCCAGCTTTTTTAAAATACATACTGGGATCATTCTGTCTTGTCTTCTTGTCTCTTTGCTTTCTTAACTCCTCAATCTGTCCCATTTGCATCTGGGAGGGAAAAAGTAGAATTAAAAGAGAGAGAGAGGAGTAAGCATTTGTTTGGACAAAAGCTGAAGGTTGGGACCATACAGGCCTGAAAGCACTGATTTCTGAAAGGAGACGTGAGTTTCCCGTCCTCGGGGCAGAGAGCCATTGAACGTTTTCTTTAAGCAAGCTGAAGACAACCCCAGCCCTTCGGGTTCGGAGCACCGACCCTGTCACAGAGCGTAAGACGGATGCAGCGAGAAGATATTTGAGCAGCAGAGTCCAGGCAGAGAGGATAGCACGTGTCCGGGGAAGAGTCAGAGGCCTCAGAGATCCAGGCCAGAGGCTCGGCAGGATCCGTCCTTTGTGCCTGGACAGACTCCGTGTGTGGGTTTGAACTGAACTTTCTAAAATCCACGCTCCCTTCAAAGAATGAAAACCCAGGAGGCAAATCAAACAGAGAGTTGGCATCAGATAAGATTGGACTGGAGGTGTCAGCGACGCCGGGACAGTGTGTTCAGGGGGGACTGCCATACAGCCCCGGCTCCAGTTCAGTTACAGCTCTGCTGCCTGTCAGGGAGCTACAGTCTGTGGGATCATCTTCTGTGTGTTCGGTCAAATGCACAAATTTAAAGCGGCCATTGGCTCCTCATTGATGTGTCCAGCGCACTGGCATTGGATACACTCCCAGGCATCTCCTTTACCATCTCCATCGGCAGAACTACTGGGCAGAAACTGTCCCCATGCAGCAATCCCTCTCCCACGTCTGCCCTCCGCCCCGGCCCTGGAGCCTGTTGGGCCTCCCCTCCCACACAGCCGGCAGCTCCTCACGGGAAAGGCTCCTTCCCGAGACCCTAAGTCCCTCAGTGTCACAACAGGGAAACGGCCGAATGGCCTGCAGGGGCCAGACCCGCAGGGTGAGAGGAGTGGCCTGGGTAGGTGTCCAGGGACGGTGTCCAGGGACAGCCCGTGGGGCTGGGCGCCCTGACTGCCATGCACAGCCTTGCTGTCCTCCCCCGTTCAGTGGGAGGTCGGCATCCTAAGTCGCTGGGCGCTGCCCCCGTACAACGTGGAGATGAGCAAGGGGAACCGCACGGGTTCTACTGCAGACATGCCACTCGTCGGTCCTGGAGGGGGGCCGGGGCCTCCTGGCTTTTGAAGTCTTCCCCGTCGATTCTGACAAGACAGAGAGCCAGGCTTGAGGGGCAGACGGTAGGGCATTCTTCGTCACCACGGCTGTGGTGGTAACAGTCTGTCACCTTCTCAGAGATGAGTCAGGACAAAGTGAGACCGAAAATGTAAACTTTCCAGGACAATGTGTGCCCATAGCGGTATTCGATGCATGTAAACTCTTATGTGTTTTTAAAATAGGAACAATGATAACAATTCTTCTTTTAGATTCTCAATTGAGTGAAAACGGTCTCAAAATTATTGTATGATATGAATATTACATCACAGAAACATAAAATGTTAACAGAGGAACGACTGTGCACCTGTGTGTGTCTGTGTGTGATCGTCCATGTTTCCAGGTGTGCCTGTGTGTAACATTGGGTATCCGTGTGTGCGTCCTTGAATGTAAGCTATGTCTCTGTGTATAAAGATTGATTTTAGGCTGTTAGAGCTAGAGGGGGCTCCGCGGAGGAGGGGACATGAAAAGGGCCGCGCAGTTGAGGTCACCGGCTGTCCTGCGTGGGGCCAGTTCAGAAGAAAAGGGACCACAACGAGCCACCGCGGGGAGGTGTGACCCAATGTAATGCAGGTGGAACAGTATATGGACAAGGACGGCTGAGTACAGGACCTGGGTAGCAGGAAGATGAGGGCGGAGGGGTCACGGTGTGGCGACAGGCAGGACTTATCACAGGAAGGGCATCTCTGACCCCGGGACACTGTTTAAGGGACCTGGGCACAGTGGGGAAGGAGGAGAACTGGACTGTGTTTAAGTCCATGTGGATGGAAAGGACGCGATGTCCGCGGGATGCTCGGCCGTGGAGCAGAAAGGACTTACAGGACTGTCAGGTGTCAGGAAGCAGATGGGCTGAGGTAGCCTCATAAAGACCCCACCACCGCCCCAGTCCACACCCTCAACTCGGGGCCCGTCGTTTGTCTGCCACGGCACAAAGGGCTCTGCAGAGGGGATGTGGTGCAGACTTTGAGTTAAGGAGATGTTCCTGAACTTGCTGGTGCCTGGTAAATACCAGCTCACGTATTGTACGTGAGGGAGGCAGGGAGAGATTTGCAAACACGAAGGAAAGGAGGTGGCAATGTCCGTTCTTGGGGCAGAGACTGGAGCGATGTGGGGACCAGGGGAGGGCTGCCATCAACCTTCAAGGTAAAAGCAGCCAGGAACAGAGTTTCACCTTGACTTTCCAGAGCCAGTGTGGCTTTCCTGACACTGGTTTCCTCAAGGAGTTACAGATTTTAGACTTTGGTCCCCGACACCTGGAGAAAATGGCCTAGTGGAGCAAGCAACCAAGGTTGTGATGGTGTTTTCCAGCAGCCACTGGAAACTAATCCGGAGCCTAGGAGATGCTTAGTTCTCCCAGTCAACTGCCTAATTGGACGATGAGCCCTTCAGCCTGGGCGGGACTCCTGGTGGAGGAGTGGGCCGGGCTCTGACCCTGTTTGTCTGACACCTTCCTTCTGCACTGTGTGGACTGTGTGCATGGAGATGCCCGGGGGCACTCGGATGCTTATTCCTGGGGCTTTAGGAAGAATGTGAGGAACACACAGTCGCCGAGGGGTGGACAGCAATGACACTGTGCAAAGAGCAAAGAGTTGACCAAAGGTGGGGCCCCAAGAATCACAGCAAAGTCAAGAGGTGGACAGAAAACAAATTACCCAAGACCCTCCCAGCATGGAACCCGAAGGAGGGGTGAGGACCAGGCAGGCCCTTGGTGCTTCTGCCGGGGATGGAGCAGCAGTGGGGTTGCAGGTTGGGAGCCTTGTGACTGGCCAGGGAGGTGGCAGGATCCGTCAGCAAAGCCGAGGGTGAGGACCGTTGGGAGGCTTTTGGCCCCTCACGCCCATATTCTCTCCAAGCCCCACGCGGTTGGCATCAGTGCAGGGACGTGGGATGGCACCTGAGTAAGCAGTGCCTTTGAGGGCACTCCCCTCAGGCCGCCATGGTCACTGGACGCTGCGTCTCCTGACTGTCCTGTTGACAGCACCCAATGGCCACTTCATGACGGAAACCACTCCAACTCCAGGCCACAGACCGTTGGAGAAAAACAGGACAGCTGGCAATTGCAGGGCAAGCACTTTATTGAAGCAAGTCATTGAAACCTTCACAGTTTCTGTGGAAGATCAGGCCATCCTTGAATGACACAGGTACTCGTGTAAGATTATACACTCTAGTTGTTACATAGATGGGCTACTTTTTTCTGAAATAGGAAAAGAAAGAAATGGGACGTTGGTGTGCAGCCCCTGGACAGGAAACTTTGACAGGGACTGCTGTCCACTCCAGCACATGAACGACATTGCACCAGCAAAGGCTCACGGAGACTTCAGGCAGGAGTAGCGAGCAGGTGGGGAATTCAGTCGTCCTGGTCCAATATTGACAAAGTGTGCGAGACAGGACAGGACATGGCCAGAACCCGACAAGCACACCCTGAATGACCCAGGCTTAGGGCTTGGGTTTCCAGTGGAGCCAGGAGAGGGTCAAGAGCTGGGCCGAGCAGCCCAGGGTTTCCTGCCTCTGAGTGCCAGGTCCCAGGCCTCGAACTCTTCACTCCAAAGTGGGCGCAGGGTTGTGAGGCCATGAAGGGAGTGGAAGGGGGGAAATGGGACATTATCTCTGCAGTAGACATCCTGTCTCCTCTATGGAAATTCTACCTGGCAGCAAAGGGACTTCTCCACACTGAGCATCTGGCTCATGTGGGAATTAGAGCAAAAATGCAAATTAATTCCAGAGGTACAAACCTAGGAAGTGATTTTAAATATCTGATTACTCCCCAAGCACATAATGGAACTATTCAGCCCCACGTGAGGTTGCAGAGGACAGAACAGGGATGGTCTCCACCACTGGCCCTGATCTGTGAGGGGTGGGGAAGTGGGGCAAAGGTACAGGGAAGGGCCCGGATCCCAGAGAGGGGGCCGAGCCCTCAGCCCGCACTCCCTCCATCCTGGTGCAGGGCCTGGCCTGCGCCCTCCCTCTTGCTGTCTGTCCTTCAGCAATCCTCAGCCTCCATGAGGCTCCCCAGGGACTGTGCCACTGGGTGAGAGGTCTCCCCTCCAACCTCCGGGAAGCTCCCAGGCAGGGAGGCAGCTGGCTCTGCCCTTCAGCACCACCCGCTGTGCCCTGTTTGTCCTCCTCAGAACACTTCAGGAACACACGCCTGAGAGATGACCTGAGAAGTAGGAACACGCTGGACAGTCTATGCAGCCGTGGTCTAGCTCAGCGGTTCCATGTGATCGTCCACCCTGTCGCCACTATCGGAGGGGAGAAAAGGGGCAGGTGGCTCCCTGCCCGGCACCCACAGAGCAGCACCCTGATCTCCCTCCTGGCTCTGCAGCCAGAAAGAAGCCTCTGTGCAGAAAGGACAAACACTTACCACAACTTCGTACATATTGAGTCTCTCCTTGTAGGGGTAAGTAGTTACACATTTCTTCACTTTTACCATTGCCGCATGAGCTTCTGATGGTCCACCGAATTTTAAAAGATTGATATTGTAGAAGAAGTCATTACCCAAAATGAAGTTTCTAATTTCAGAAACAAGAGATGGACAGGCCTTTGCATTTGCTGGAGTGGAAGGGGAAGAAATACAATTGATGTAAGGAAGTCACTTTCCCCCTTGGCCCCTGACCTTGGAAACACAGAGTAACCCAGGGGTTTCATGGTCCATCCCATAAATGCACCAATGACAATGCAAAAATCCTACAAGTCGTGACTTGCTCAAATCACACAGCAAGCAGCAGGGTCGTGGACTGAGCCTTCATTCAGTTTCCATGGCTTGTAAAGGACACACGTGAAGTTTCAACACTCTCCTGCTTTGCAGAAATTCACTTTCCCTAGATTTTAGAATTATAGGTTTGCCTGTCATTTGAGTGACACTTTCTTTTGTCTTGGAAGTTGGATGGGGGGACTTGTTAGTGATCACATCCAGTAGGGGGTGGATTCCACCCTCACCAGGGACCAGAGAAGGCAGCACCAGTGTGGAGAGGAGTAGAGACCACTATTCAACGTTGGAAAAAGCTCTTTTGCCACTAAATTACACAAGAGAATTATGTTATTGGGTGAACACACCCAAAAAGCTTTAAAAAAGATTCTGCAGTTACCACACATCTGAGCATGATATGCAAATCATGACTGGTTCTTCTTGTCTGCAGTGAATACAGAATTCCCTAGAGACTGTGGGAGGTGGCAGCTGGGGCTGACTTTTGGCTCCACTGAGACTGTGCTGAGACCTACGTAACCACTTCTCCCTGGTCTGGACTCTCCATACCCCCACCTCCCGCTCAGCCCACACATCTTCACAAACACCTGCAGCGGGGAACGTGCCCTGCCAGCCTCTGATCTGACCTTATCAGACACCGACTATGCAGAGATGTAGAGAGGTCAGATCAGAGGCAACTCAGGGAAGGAGGAGGAGTTCACAAAGTCAGATGACAGAGAAAGGGTCAGAAGCACTAGAATCAGAGTCGAGGCCATGACAACACACCGTGGTGTTGTTGCACAGTCATTCCATCCCAAACATTGCACTGGCTCTGCCTATCCTGTTCGGCCTGCCAGAAAAGGTGCAGTACGTGCGGGTGTATTGAGTGCTGCTGATTCTGACTGATTACAGAGAGAGTCAGACAACACTGGTCTTCCTGAGCTTAGAGCTCTCCTGAAACTCTTCCAGCTGGAACATTCTATGAGTCCGAATGTTGGAGTTCAAAAGGTATCGACTCGACTGGCATCAGAGGCTCTGGGAAGGAACAAGAACCAGAGCTGACCTCTGACCCACTTTTTCTCCTTCCACGGTCACAGCTGCCCTTGCTGGAACTGCAAACACCAAGCATGAGAGAGAAATTGGGGAGACTGAGCATTTTGTTCAAGTCACATCATTGCTGAGTGTCAGAACTGTGATGCACAATGAAAATCTGATATATTATGCTTATTCTAAGGCATAGATCCTAGACAGGGATTGAGGCTTCAGATGGGAAACTCTTAAAAGTGTTCTGCAAGGACATCCTGTAAAAGACCCAGAGTTTAGAGGATTCATACAGGAGCCCTCGGCGTTCAGGGGGCTATCTACATGCAGTGGGGCAGGATTGGATTCTGATCCATTCACCTTCCTCCCCCAAGAAGTTACCTATTTGGGAGAAGGTTACTTACCTGGGTTGATGGTAGTCTGATTAGATGTGATACTCACCCTCATAGCAGAGGAGGGCCAGAGTGACTAGAAAGACTGTCAGGGACAGCCTCATGGTCGATTTTGCTGTGAGCTCAGCTTTTGCAAACAAAGAGCAGTGAGCAGATGGACTCAGCAGCCTGGGGTCTCCGGGCTTTTCATACCCAGCGAGTGTCACTGGTCCCGCCTACTTGGACGTGGCACATCACAAGGCCTGGCTTCCAGCTCACCCTTCCTTGCTGAGGCCTGATGCCAACCATCACAGTCAAGTCCCGGTGACTTGGTCAACAACAGGCAATGTTGGCATCATGCACGTCTCCTCTCTGACAAAAACCGAGAATGGATTTTACAAAAGTATCGTCACGTGAATGGCAGGTGCCTCCTGGATTTTGCTCCTTAACTAAAGTTTTAGAAAAGGATCATCATTTGGTTGATGGGAGCCCCCTGAGAACTTAGCTTCTTCATTGCAGGCAGCCTCTGGCTCTCCCTGTCTGTCTCAGCCCAGCGCCTGGCACAGGGCTGAGGATCGGCAACCATTCTGGGAATGCGTAGTTCATGCGCATCTTTAGCTCAAATGGATGCCTGCTGGGCCAGGGTCAGCCTGGGCACTTGAGGGAGAAAGGTTAGTGGCGCGGTGGCCATTGTGACGATATCAGTGGTGCTGGGGTCTCACGAGAGCACCATGCCAAGAGTGAGACTCCCTCCCCTCATCAGACTTTCTGGCCCTCCCCTATGGTTTTAAACGTGGTTTGGCGAGGTTCCATCAAAGCGAATTCCGAGCTGTCCTCACTGACTGTCTCCTTGTCAGTGAGGAGAGTCGTGTCTGCTGAGTCCTCAGGGTCCCAGCAGCAGCAGGGCCCACAGGGCCTGCAGGGCCCATCCTCCTCGGTCCCCAGCCACCGGCAGATGCCCATGGCAGCGCTAGGACTTGGGCCGTTCTGAGGAAAGGCATCAGGCAGCAGCCTGGGTATGAGCAGCAGGCTTCAGAGCCACTCTGGAGAGACAGGACTTTGACATGAACTGGTGCTGGGAGGGGGGATCCTGTGATAACAACACAAGGGAATACAAGACCCCAGGAACCACGTAGCTTGTGGGGAACACAGGAACCCCTGTGACACCGACATGCTGGTGCTCAGGGGGATGGGGATGGCTCAGTGACTGGAGACATGGGCTGGGCCGAGTCCAGCAGAGGGCCTGCTGTGCACCCAGCAGCCCTGGGGGCAGAGGGGCAACCGTGGTGACACCACCTTACTTCCCCAGTGCTTTTCCCTGAGGGGTAACAGGAGCTGCTCTCTGTGGCTGGTGGGAATGTCGAGCAGTACTGCCACTCGGGAGGACAGTGTGGCTGTTCCTTGTACACTAAGTGTCCTGTGACCCCACCGTCCAGCTATTGCTCTCTGTGGGGACATAGGTACCACTGTGTGCATGATGCTGACTGAGGGGAAGGCTGTGTGTGTCCAGGAATCAGGGGTCGATGGTAATGCTCTTAACTTCCTGCTCCATCTTTCTGTGAACCTAAATCTGCTCTAATACTAGCTCTGGCTCAGGTTGCTCAGTGGATTGAGTGCTGACCTGTGAGGCAAAAGGTCACCAGTTCAATATCCTGAGAGCCACATGCCTGGATAGCAGGCCTGGTCCCCATTTGGGGGTGTGGAGAACCTACCACACAGAGATGTTTCTCCTTAGGAAAGGCTGGTGTTGGTTCCTGTTTTGCAACTTCCTAAGCCCTATCCAACAGGCAACAGCTGGCCTCAGTGAGCTCCCAGCCTGGCACTAGAAGCAGCTATGTTAGCATTACAGCTTCACTTTGCCAGGAAATCTCCAGGCCCAGCACAAGTAGCAGCCTTCTCAGATTGCTCTATAGCTCAGAGGAAGGATGGCCTTGGGCAAAACAGGCGAGGGCTGGCCTTAACTTGCATCACCTAGGAACCACAGGGCCCGCTCACCCACTGGGCAGCTACAGAGAACTCAGAGCACTAGCACCCTGCCCCTGCACAGCTGGTCCTTCCAGGAAGGTGCAGGTTCATCATGAATGGTCACAGCCAACCGTTGCAGCTGGCTGGCCTCAATAAATCCCCCCATTGATCTGCTAACTGCAAACAAGATTTAACTACAAGAGGAGGATGTACTCAGCCCACCCCATGGTACACCTGAAATACCAGCTTGGGTGACAGGGGAGGCTGTGCCAATGGACCTTACAGGACACCCACTGCATTAGGGCACACTACATACACATGGAGCCAACACAGCTCTATCTGATACAAAGAACCAAACACTGGGAGTCTGCCTAAAAGAGGAGACAAAGAAACATGGCCCAAATGAAGAGCAGATGAAGACACCAGGAAAAAGTGCTAAACGAAATGGAGATAAACAATCTATCAGATGCAGAGTTTAAAACACTGATCCTAAGGATACTCAAGGAACTGAGTGAGGACCTCAGCAGAATTAAAGACCTAGTCAGCAAAAAAGGACACACTATTTGAAATAAAGAACAATTTACAGGGGGGAAAAAAGGTAGCGTGGATGAAGCTGAGAATCCAATCAATGACTTGGAACATAAGGAAAGGAAAACAATGAATCAGACCAACAGGAAAAAAAGCCCAAAGAAACAAAAAGAAAATGAGGGCAATATAAGCAGCCTCTGGGAGAACTTTAAACATTCCAACATGTGCATCAGAGGGGTGCCAAGAGGAGAGGAGATAGAGCCAGAATTTGAAAATCTATCTGAAAGGATAATGAAAGAAAAGTTCCCTATGTTGGTGAAGGAAATAGACATGCAAGGCCAGGAAACACAGAGAGTTCCAGTGAAGGTGGATATAAAAAGGACCATGCCAGGACACAGCATAATGAAAATGCCAAGGGTTAAAACAAAGAGCGAATCCTACAAGCAGCAACAGAAAAACAGAGAGTTACCTACAAAGAGGTTCCCATAAGACTGTCAGCTGATTTCTCCAAAGTAACCTAGCAGGCAAGAAGGGACTAGAAAGAAGTATCCAAAGTCACAAAAGGCAAGGACCTGCATACAAGATGACTCTATCCAGGAAAGCATAAGTTTAGAATGGAAGGGCAGATAAAGTTCTTCCCAGGCAAGGTAAAGCTAAAGGAGGTCACCATCATCAAGTCATTATTACAGGGAATGTTCAAGGGGCTTATTAATGAAAAAGAAGAAGACCAAAACGGTGAATATTAAAATGACAACAAACTTAAAACTATCAACAACTGAACCCAACAAATAAAAACAAAAACAAAAGCAGACTCAAAACAACCAGAAGAGGAACAGAATTGTAGGGACGGAGACCATTTGAAGGGTTATCAACAAGGATGTCCACTCTCACCGCTTCTTTTCAACATCATATTGGAAGTCCTAGCCACAGCGGTCAGACAAGAGAAAGAGATAAAAGGCATCCAAATAGGAAAAGAGGAAGTAAAGCTATGATTGTTTGCAGAAGACATGATTGTGTACATAGAAAACCCTGTAGACTCTACCAAAAAACTACTCAAACTAATAAGTGAATTTGGCAAAACAGCAGGATACAAAGTCAGCCTTCAGAAATCAAAGGCGTTTTTGTACACCAGCAATGAAATAGAAGAAGAAGAAATCAGAAAAAAAAATACCATTCGATATAGCAAGAAGAAAAATAAAGTACCTAGGCATAAATTTAATGAAAGACGTAAAAGACCTGTAGGCAGAAAACTATACAACGTTGAAAAAAAATTAAGGAAGACACAAATAAATGGAAACATATACCGTGCTCATGGATTGGAAGAATTAATATCATCAAAATGTCCATACTACCCAAAGCAATTTATAGATTCAACGCAATCCCTATTAAGATACCAATGATGTATTTCACAGAAATAGAACAGACATTTCAAAAATTTATATGGAACCATAAACGACCCCGAATAGCCTCAGCAATTTTGAGAAAGAAAAACAAAGTAGGAGGGATCACAATACCGGACATCAAACTCTACTACAAAGCCACCATACTCAAAACAATCTGGTACTGGCACAAGAACAGACCCATAGACCAGTGGAACAGAATAGAAAGCCCAGAAATAAGCCCAGGTCTCTATGGGCAACAAATATTTGACAAAGGGGGCAGAAGCATAAAATGGAGCAATAACAGCCTCTTCAACAAATGGTGTTGGGAGAGCTGGATGGCTACATGCAAAACATTGAAATTGGATCATCAGCTAACACCATATACAAAAACAAACTCAAGATGGATCAAAGACTTAAATGTAAGTCGCAACACCATCAAAGTCCTAGAGGAGAACATTGGCAGGAAACTCTCAGATATCCCACGCAGCAATTTTTTCACCGATATGTCTCCTAAAGCAAGGGACATAAAGGAAAGAATAAACAAGTGGGACCTCATCAAAATAAGAAGCTTCTGCACGGCAAAAGAAAACATCAGCAAAATGAAAAGGGAGCCAGCCATATGGGAAAATATATTCGCTAATGATACATCAGATAGAGGTTTGATCTCCAAGATATATAAAGAACTCACTCGACTCCACTCCAAGAAGACAAACGATCCAATCAAAAAATGGGCAAAGGACCTGGGCAGACGCTTTTCCAAGGAAGCAATTCAGAGGGCCCAGATGCATTTGAAAGGATGCTCAGCATCACTAGCCATCAGAGAAATGCAGATCAAAACCACCATGAGGTACCACCTCACACCAGTCAGAATGGCCATCATAAACAGATCCACAAACAACAGGTGCTGGCGAGGCTGTGGAGAAAAGGGAACCCTAGTACACTGTTGGTGGGAATGCAGACTGGTGCAGCCACTATGGAAAGCAGTGTGGAATTTCCTCAAAAAGCTGCAAATGGAACTGCCTTTTGATCCAGTGATTCCCCTGCTGGGACTATACCCTAAGAATCCCAAAACACCAATTCAAAAGAACCTATGCACCCCAATGTTCATAGCAACACAGTTTACAATAGCCAAATGCTGGAAGCAGCCTAAATGCCCATCAGTAGATGATTGGATCAAAAAGTTATGATACATATACACAATGGAATAGTACGCAGCAGAAAGAAAAAAAAGAACTACTAAACTTCGAGACAGCATGGATGGAACTGGAGAGCATTATGCTAAG